ATAACAAAAATAAATAAAATGCATTAAAATTTAAAGGAAAGATACAGCATGTTTATTCTCAGGAAACATACCAATGTAAAAACCCTGCAAAAGTAAGATACAGTCTTTCAAGGTAGCACCTAACACAGCAAGGAGCTGTGCCAGACTGGAAAGCAAAAAGGCCAACTGCTTTCACTGGAAATGCTAATATTTAATAAAATAATTATACCAATTCTTCACAAAGTCTTGCAGAAAACAGAAGCAGAAAGAACACTTCTCAACTTGTTTTAAAATAGCAGATGATAACATCTTTATCTTGTCTTGATAGCAAGATAATTGCTAGAAGCTAAAGTATATTGCCTATATCCCAAGTATCTAATAAAACAGTAGTGAAGCAAAGCTTGTATACTTACTGTAAACACTTCCAATAGAAAAGGTAAGGAATTAAAAAGTCATAGGTGATCCTTAATGTAACAATTGTAATAGTAGTTATCTTACTATCAAGACCAGATAAACATGTTAATGGGAAAAGAATCTATAGATTAATTGCCTCATGAACAGAGATGTATAAATCCTCAGCAAAACCTTAACAAATTGTATCCAACAATGCAAAACAAAAATTTTATCCCCATGGCAATATGGCATCTATTGCATACATACAAGTGTGGTTCAGTATCTCAAAATCAATTGATATAACCCATCTTACTAATAAACTAAGGAAGAAAAATAAAGTAAAATATATAAATGACAAACATGTGAAAAGATGGTAACCATCAAAACACACACACACATAAACACACACCCTACAATTAAAGATACACACAAACATGAGGCATATATATAATTATATATATATATATATATATATAATTTAGAAAGCAGTTCTCTAAAACTATGGATATGCTTTAAGTTAACAGAGCTGACTATAATAAAATAGATAAAACACCACAGGAACCATTTCCCATAAGTGCTACCAAAAATGGCCCTTGAACCCTTAATTTTCTATAGCAAGAATCAGGCTGAAATCTTATTGTCCATATCCACAGTAAATGTTACAAACAAAGTGACTGAAAAATGAAGAACTTACAACAAGGAGCAATGTAATAGCGACTTTGTCCCAAACTCCTGAAAAGGGAATCATGATCAATCACAACGCGTTCCTTACCTCCACCTCCAGGACAAACACTTTTATTACAATTGTTACATTAAGGATTACCTATGACTCTTTAATTCCTTACCTTTTCCATTGGGAGTGTTACAGTAAGTATACAAGTTTTGCTTCACTATTGTTTTATTAGATACTTTGGATGTAGGCAATATGGCTTCTAGCTCTTCCGGTCAAAAGGGACCATATAGCTGGACCTGATAATGCAGAAACTATGTAAGTCGGACCTCTCCTATCCAACAGAGGTCCTGGACTTTTGAGTTTGAAGTCATTACAAGATAGAAGTTTCAGATTTTCTCCTATAATGATAGGATATGGAAATCCGCCTGTGAAATAGAGACTGCATATGTGCTATATTAGTGCTGTTCACCAAATACTTTTGGCTCTCTTCCTTCAGGTTCCAGAAGCTCTTACTACCTGGTCCTACTATGATGAAGTGGGACCTGTCGATACAAATTGGAATTGCAAATGTCAATCCCAAGCCAGAGTACTTAGCTGCTCATGGAAAATGCAACAGGAATTACTCTTATCTTTTAAGGATAACAGATAACATAGTCCACATAGAAAATACACTCTGAGGATAAGACCACGAAATAGAACGCCAAGACAACACTCAATGTATACAGAGCATTAATAAAATTTAAATTTTTGCTGTTTGAAGACAGTGGGTATAACCCACCCCATTTTAGTAATATATGTCTTATACTATTTTAAAGGTAGATAATTTTAATTCTGTGATTTATGTTCACACTTTTACAGCCTGGTTATTATTTATCATCCAAAAGAACAAAATTGTTACATCATACTTATAAAATTTCTTCCAAACACTTTGATAATAGAACACTGAAAAATATTTAATAGAACTGATCATCTTGAGGATGAAGTAGCACATTTATAAATCTTCAATTAAATTGAACACTTGATTTTGTTTACTAAATTGTAGTTAATTTTCTCACCATCGTCTATAACATGCCATTTAAATAAAGTTGATTGTGTTTTCACCATTCAAGTTTTCCATCACTGAAAAGTGTTGCAAAGAACTTACTATGACACATCCATAAGTCCTTTGCAAATAAGACAGTTAATCATTTAAACCATTTAATACATTATTGAAATAGAAGGAAAAATTCAAATAGACACTAACGTCTGTGTGAAACAAAAAGTAACTCAAGCATAAATGCTATGTTATTTGTTATGTATCATTTGAAATTTTGATATATTTTTAAAATAAATTTAATATGTTATCAAATATTAATTATAAACCTTAGGTCATTGAAAGTTATTTAGGTAAATATTATTAAAACTCAGAAATTAAAAGAAAAATTATTAACGGGGAAAAACCTACTTATTTAAGAACTTCACTACTATTTGTGGTCTATGATAAAGTTCTCAAGCCTGAAGCTTAAATAAGCATATCTTTTTTCTCTAAAATGCATGAAGAAAAGCAAATGGCATGAGGCCAAATAAACAGCTGCACAGCTCTCAGGGGAGAGGAGTCAGAATAAAAATATAAACACAAAATGGATGTACACTTTTATTACCTGAGCATTTAGCAGCTCTTCACACTTGTGTGCTTGTTTCTCAATTGCAGAGATGTACTGTTTTTCAATAGCTTCTACTTGTTGCTTGACTGAAGACTGTAGTAATGCCTAAAAAACAAACAAGAAAATTCTATGGCCCACAGACAAAACTTGGAGCCTAGAGAGGGCATGAGAGTTTTTTATACTTGTACATACTGGAAATACAACACCTTCTGCAGCACAGAATATACATTTGTAAACAGTAAAGCCATATATATCTCACTACTTTGAGCTTTCAGTTTTATCGTTCCCTACTGCCAAATAATCCAGACTTTTTGGCTCAGATATTCCTTTTACACACCTTCTCTTTTAAAAAGACCAAGTCATAGAATATGATGAAGAGAGCAGTTCTGCTAAATATAAATTCAGTTCAGTAAAGACCACACAGGACGAGCAGCAAATGAAAGCTTCTGAAAAAAATAAATAAATAAAAAAGAAAAGAAAGAAAAAAAAAAGCCAGACATATTTCACTGGCTGACAAAACTCCACATCCTCTCGGCACACTATAATATCCCATGGGCCAAGCGTGATCTTCAAGACCACAAGTCAAGTAAAAGCAGATGGAAACTCTGAGCAACTTGAAGCATAAAGTAACTGACCCCCCTAAAGGAAGTTCATGCCTTAATGTGAAAAGGTGGATAAACTTAATTGGGCTGTATAAGTGATGGAAGTAAGTTAAACATAAAGAAGATATCTCTGCTCTAAAGAAAGTCAAATCAGCATCTGAAGATATCCAACACACTCATTTCCTCATTGAAGATCTTCAGATTATTACAATCATTTTTCTTTTTCTCTTTTAAGTTTTATTTATGCTATACTACCATGGTCTTAGGAGGCATTACAAATCCTAAATCAGGGGCTGGAGAGATGGCTCAGTGGTCTAAAGCACCTACTTGGAACAGGCTTGGCAAAGCACAGGGACCGCAGTTCGATCCCCCAGCACCACATGCCAGCCAGCCCCGCCCCCTGGTGGGCTGAGCTGGCCACACACACACAAACACACACACACTAAATAAATGTTAAAAAAAATTAAAAAAAAACAAAAAGAAACAAACAAATCCTAAATCATTCTAAAATATGCATTCAACTAAATATATATGAAGTCTCTAGCAAATACTCTTTCTAAACTACTCACATTCAGAACAGTAAGCTGAAACAGACATGTCTTACAGAAAACAGATCATTTACACATTCACCAAGAAAAATAAACCAAATCTCTCAATCTGTTTTGAAAATATCTTTCTTCAGTTGGAAACAACATGCATTAAGATACTAAATAGATATACAGTTTAAAAACAAGCAAACAAACAGACAAATACTTTTAACCAAAAGGTAACCTTCAGATTTTTAGGTGATTAACTCTTTTGCAATGGAACAACTGTAGCACTGGTAATGCTGGAGTCACAACAAAGACGCTACGGACAATGAAGACACTACAGAATTACTAGTAAATCTGTAAAGGAAAATAAAACTTTGCCTGAAATTTAATCGAAATACAAGGGACTGCCTTAGTCTGTAATTTTCTAAGGTGGAAAAAAAACCCATTATACAAAATTTCAAAACAAGGTAGGATAGTAACAATAGCTAATACATTGCGTATTGTTATCATCAAAGTAGTTGTTCAGACTACAAGATATAGGCGTGAAAAATTGATAAAAACAGGCCAGGCAGACAGCTCAGTGGATTACAGCACCTGCTTAGGCAGAGTGCAGGGGCCGGGGTTTGATCCCAGACCTGCTGTGCCGACCCTGCTCCCAGGCATGCTGAGACAGATTGAGACTGGGCATGGTGGCATGCACCTGTAATCCCAGCGCTTGGTAGGCTGAAAACAGGAGGATCACTACAAGTCCAACCTGTGTAGTGAGACTCTGTAGACTCTACTAAAATATGTTTTAAAAAATTTGGTCAAACAATATAAGTCTAAAAACTTTCTTTTCAATAAGCTAATAGAAACTAGTGGCATAACTATCTTTACATATATGTATTTCCTTTGCCCATTCTTTTCTCCTTTCCTCCATTCCAGTTATTCTTTGCTTTTGAGCAGTTTCTTTCCTTTTCTCATTATCTACTGCATATATTTTAAATCTTATTTGCTCTTTTAGTTTCTCACTCTAGGGAGACAAGATATTTATACTTGCAAGTTTGATTTACTTCACTTATAAGAATGGTTTCTAGGGCTGGTGAGATGGCTCAGTGGTCTAAAGCACCTACTTAGAACAAGCTTAACAAAAGCAAAGGGACCGCAGTTCAATCACCCAGCACCACATGCCAGCCAGCCCTGCCCCCTGGTGGGCTGAGCTGGCCACACACACACACACACACACACACACACACACACAAATAAATAAAATTAAAAAAAAAAGAATGGTTTCTAGTTGCATTCATTTAGCTATAAAAGCCTCAAGTTCATCCTTGTTTATAGCTAAGCAGTACTCCATTATATAAAAATAGCACTTTTTTAAAATCCATTCCTCAGCAGATGAGCATTTAGGTTCTTCCCAAGATTTAGCTGTTATAAATTGTGCTGCTATAGACATGGCTGCACATATATTGCTGTGGTATGATGTTTTTATTTTATTTATCTATTTATTTTTTTCATGGAACCAGGGATTGAACTCAGGCCTCTGCACTTGCCAGGGAAGCGCTTATTCTACTAAGCCATCTCCTCTGCCCCTCGATGTATTTGATTCTTCTGGGAAAATACCTAGAATGGGAATAGTTGAATTAAATGGAGGCTCCAGTCCTCATTTTTTTTTTTTTTTGAGGAATCGACATACTGATTTCCACAGTGATTATACCAGCATATACTCTCACAAACAGTATGAAATCATTTTTTTTCCTACAGCTCCTCCATCATTTGTTATTGGTTAATTTCTTGATAATAGCCATTATTTCTAGAATGAGATGGAAACTCACTGTTTTAATTTGCATCTCTCCAATAATGATGTTGATTATTTTTCACATTCTTATTTGCCATTTATATTTCTTCATCTGAGAGGTACATATTCCTCTCAGATGCCCATTTTTGGTTTAGGTCTTTGAATTGGGAAGGGTCTGATATTTTCAATTCTTTTAGTTCTAAGCACAAATCTTTCTTCTGAGGGACAATTGGATAAAATTTTTACTTACTGTGTGGGTTCTTTTTACTCTGTTGATAATTTGTTCTGATATGCAAAAGTTTAATAAAAAGAGATACCAGTTGTTGATTCTCTGAAGTATCTCCCATCAGTACAAGATTTACTACAGAATCCTAAAAGAACATTATGAATCCAACTATAAGAAAAGTAATTCAATTGCTTTGGAAAGTAACAAAATTTATTGATCAATCCATTAAATTAAACTTTACCAATAGAAAATTTTAATGTTATAATGCTGCAAACTAGAAGCTAAAGACAAAACAGAATGCAAGGTACAGAGAACAGACATCTTCACTAAAGTCACTGATATTGCATATTCAAAGTATCTATAGCAGCAATTTACACATAAGAAATTCAACAAAATTATAAACTAAATAAATCAATTTATGATGGCATGCCCAACCCTAACCATAGGTCTATTCATAGAGAAATTATTAAAACTTTTATATTTATGATTGTTTTTCTTGTCTATAGTATGGGCAAAACTTCCTTAGAAAAATTAGCATGAAACAGGAAAGGAGAAGAACAGAAAAGTAGGTCAAGGAAAATCATTTATCAATGCTACATACTATATAGAAAATAAAAATAATTTTTTTCAAAGTGCAGTCAAAAGGTTTTCCTGAAGTAATATTAACTGAAACTTCCTCTGGACACTCTATCCACACATCTACAGGTCTTCTAACAATACTTTCATTCTCCAATTTATCATGAATATCCCATGTCATAGTTCGGGACTTTGCAAGGAGAACAATACAATATAGCTCACATATTTTTAAGATTATTTTAAAGTGAATCACCCAAAGAAACATATACCAAGAGTGTAGGAAATCTCTCCATACACTAAAGACTCAAGACTCCAGCTGAGGGCCTGAATTCCACTGTAATGTCCTGCTTGCGTCCAGCTGAACACTTAAGAGACCATAACAGTGTCTTATGCAGGTGTGTTTCATGGATCAGTGCTGGGAAGGCCTAAAGGTCAGTGATAGAAGCCAGAACATCTATGGCAACAGAATGAAGGATCTGTGCTATCAAGCTGAAGGATTGGTACTAGATAGAGCCAGGAAGTGACACTCAAGGTAAGAACAGAACATCCCCAAGAAGTACCACAGCCATCCTCAGCAACAGTGAGGTCCCAAGCTCCTCCAAAGATGAGGAAAGCTGAGTTCTCATCAGGAAAGGCAACACAACAAGCTTCTCCAGGAGACTGAGCTGTGTACCATTTTCCCCTCCAGAGCCAGGAATCGATGCTCAAAGTGGGGACCAGAGCTTCCCCAAAGTGAACTGTAGCCATTTTCAGTGTCCATGAGGCTTCAATCTCTTTCAACCATGGAGAAGAGCAGAGTTCATCATGGAACCCACATCACAAGCTTCGCCAAGAAAACCAACAGCTCCCTAACAACGTTTTCATCTCCAGCTCTGCCTCTTATGCTGCTGGCAACAATCGTGAGATTGGTCTCCCAACCCAGCACTAGTCTGGTTCAGTTTAGCTGGCTGGGTATTATAAGTTGACTTCCAGTTGTCAATCCACCACAGCTTAGCACTCCAGACTATGAAAATGAATAGACACTGTCTAAATGTTGGCGATTAGATTTGGCTCTGAATGTTGCTCTTAACCAACTTGTCTTAATCTTCCATGGTTCTTGGTGAATAAAAGCTATACTTTGCTAACTTGAAACACTTCAGAGGTTAAAAAAAAAGTGATAGGCTGATTTCATACATTCACACATACATTTATATAAACATTTTTAAAATCTTTCCTGAGTAAGTCAATACTCTAGTTATGGTGCAGATGCAGTTGCATTTGAGGGAAAATAGGCATCTCAGAAAATAGAAATTAGGTGATATATTTCTGTGAAACAAGTTCAATCTGCATTTAAAGCTTTCATTTACTCGATTCCACCTCCCAATTCAAATCCAAGTTTTTGGCCTTTG